CACTTACTCATTTTTGTGTACTAGATTTTTCACGAAGTTAATATTGTTACCATTATAAACTGCATTATTAAGAAATAATAAAATAACTATCACTAATAACAACATAAAAGTGCTTACTTCTCATCTCTAAGGTCATTTATTCCTTTTAAATAGTTTTCAAGACTTGGTTTGTAAGGATTAGATTAGTTTCTACGAGTTTAACCACAGATTGTCATCACTTAGAGAACCATTGAAAACCAAGGAGTCCTGGATAGCTTGGTTCGAATCCCGGTGGGTGCGTACTGCCGATAATTCCCAAACTAGGATGAAACAGCTGTCCAGTACTCCCTAGTTTTCAATGGTTCTCTTACTTATAACAATCCGTGGTCAAACTCGTAAAAACAAATCTTTTAAATAGATCCTCTACGAACAAACGAAGTCTTTCATTACTGAAGAAACCCGTTTGGATTAACATAAGATAAATTACTGAAATAACCATATTTTTCTCATATTTTGTTGAAAAGAAAGAAAGTATTTGATTGTCTTTTAGCGTATGTTATTCTTCTAAATATTAATATCATGAAGTAAAAAATAGTCGGGGTTTACTGAGGAAAATAAAAAATAAGGCAAGTAAAGGATGGGAATTCGTGGTATTCTTTTGCCTTTAACATTCTACTGCAAATTATCAGTAGTAAATTTATTAAGAATAAGACATATAGTTGAGTAGTTTGATTTTTCTTTGTAGTGACTTTTGACCTCTTCTTGTTTAATAGTAATTCGCTTTAGTGCATTTTCTTGAAAAGTAAATTAAAACTTTATAGATCCTAAGTGGTCTGTTGGATAACGTTTCGGCGTTGGAAACTCTAGGTTCGAGTCTCAATGGGAACACCATCATCCAATGGGAATAGAGGTACGCCCAGAAGACAAGTCCCAAATAATACGAAAGGGGCATCCTAAATTCCTCTACTGTTCACCATCCACTGCATAACTACAAGTTAGTCCTCTCATTTAATCTTGTTGATATTTCTAAATCTTTTGGAAATACCTGTTCCGTGTACTCCACGTAGTCAATAAATACTTTAGTCAGTCTGAATTTTAAACACTGAATTATTAATTGTCACTGTCTTTCATTTACTATAGTGAAATAAAAAGAGATTTACATCCTTGTCTGATAAATTCTAGATTTATAAACCCCAGATGTTCTTATAAGCTTTAATTGAAAAGAAACTGAACTGTTTTAGGTTGATTCTCTTCTTCTTATTGAAAGACAATGGCACAGTGTTTCAAACTTAGGTTTATCCATGATGTAGTGTAATCTTCATCTACTGTTATTAGTGAATGAATGTGAACTCTTTGAAGCCTAATATTTCTTGGCTGGTTCTCCTATGAGATATTCCACTTTTATTCTGAAACAATGAATAAATTAGTGGGACCAACTAGGTAAAAAGAGATAGCCAGCGGAATTTTATTTATATTTACGCAAAACCAAGAAATTTAACAAACACATAGATTTCTAGGCTTAAACAGTCATGATCAAAACAGTCTCAGCTAAACAGACAAAATGCATAAATATGGTGTTATTTTTGACTGACTAGTGCTGTAATATTCCATTGTGGAAGAATTTGGCAGGAGATAAAGGAGAGGAACAATAATATCCACAAAGTGGAAAGAAAGAAAGTAAAGTAGTGAAAGATGTGAAAGTATGCGATGCTAATAATCGTTATTGCAGAATCAGAGTTAAGCTGTCAGAAGGCCATCACAACAATAGACGCATGTTCTCAGTTTGCTGACATTAAGCATATTCATGCGCTTTTACACAAATATTTCTATTTTATCATTCTATTAATTTTTCTTTCACCATATTCACTGGTGAAACTATGATAGGATGAGTCTGTCTGTTTGTATTCCTCTTAAAATCCTCTAAATATGTAGGTGAAAATATAATGCCTATTCATTTGCACTAATATCTTCGCAACTTTGAGAGTTTGTGAAGCTTGCATATACGGTGTCCATTAAAGCCATATTCCTTAGCTAACTGAAATTTAACTGAAATGAAATTTATTTTTGAGTGCAATGATGTGTGACAAAAAAAGTGGTTTCGGCTTTTTTTCTTTTCCAAGAAACTATACCATGTATATCAGATGAGTTCATACTAAGACTGGGTAGGTACTTCTATCTATCTATCTATCTATCCGAGTATTGAATTATAAACGTGAGAGTAATAATAATAATCACTTGAGTTTTAACTCAAGTGTAAAGACCTACGTTCTTGTCCCAAAACTTACTTCTGACTTATGATTTTTTTAATATTTTGGTTGATGGTAACTACTAGTGGAATTCACGATGCACATTTGGTCCTACTCACGAATTATCAGCGTCTCCAGCGAGTGACAGTGTTCTCACTGAGACTCGAACCCCACACCAATCGATTCAAATACCAAAGGGTTCTAGTCTTAGTGTTAATACCTCCATTCACAGGAAATGCAGGCACTTTTAACTGATTAGTCTTGAATAGAACAAAATGTGCATCCTGAATTCCACTACTAGTCACTATCAGCCAAAATAATATCACAATAATCTTCAGACATCGTCGAAGTGTCCGTACCGGAGGCCCATGTGTCAACAGAAGCAATTCACTTCTGTCTAACATAATCAGTCGACAGGAAATGCAGTTTAACTTTGTTGTAATGTAGTATTTTAACGACGACTTTGCTAAAAATGTATCTCTCTAGTTATACTACATTTATTCATTAATAGAAAATTCCCATCGTAACACATAGAAAGTCAGTGTGCTTTTACTAATTCACCTGCTGGTGTGGAGTTAGGTACATCGGTTGTTCGACTGGATTTTTGTCCAAGAGGATGCAAGAACACTATCCTGCATGGTTGCGAATAGGTGGAAGTGGAGCGATAAGAAGCGCGATCATTGAACATCTGGTCGATAATGATCACCCTATCGCTATAGCCTCCGCCTTTAAAGTCATATACATGGCAAAAAGTAATTTACAGAAATCACTGCGTACCCAACTCATCTGTATTTCTGAAGCTTTGGCTGTCGAAACAGAAAAACCAGATCTCTGTGTACAGAAAAAGTTCGTTCAACCCATCCAACTTTCATGGTCTTATTCCCTTTACGCTAAAGTATGGTAATCCTTAATCATATTTTGGCTGTACCAAATTTTTTTCACTTTGTCTATTCAATTTGTATACTCTTCATTTATTACGTCAATTGTTACTATTACTGTTCTCATTTTGAACTGTCCCCAGTATTATTTCTCTTTTTCCACTTGTCATTCTAAACCAATTCTGTTTTGCAACGTTAAATTCTATGTTATCAAATTTCACACAATATTACGCAACGTTTTTATTTTATTCGATTTGCCTACTAATCCTATAATTGCACACCCCTTCCAAGTTTTATACATCCTATGAATTATTCTATATATGACATTAATTGTTTTGCCACTTGACATTTAGCTTTGATTATAATCACAAACATTTTGACTGGATATCAAACTACTATTATTATTATGTTATGCATTCACACCTATGATTCAGTCCTCTCACCGGATATAATTTCTTAAAAACATATATATACGATTGTACAGCTTGATAATAAATTCGTTGAAAAGAGTCTCTTTGCTGAATCACTTGTTTTGGTTTTTTATACCTTTATTCAAGCAGAAATAGCTGACTATCCTAATATGAGACGGTAATTTTTACCAGTTAAACATGGTTTTGAATGAAATCAGTGTACCAGTTTACCATTGGTATTCGCCAAATTTTGTATTATGATAAGGAAAAAATTCATGGCAAGAGTAAAGAATAGATACCACAGTCAAATGATTTTGAACCAACTAAACAGATCGCTCAACATTACGGATAACTGCTTCTCTTAATCTTGATTTCAAGTTTCACCCTGATTTGTATTAGGGTTAGAGTAGAATTAAGGTAGAAGTGTAGTTCAGATTGGGATTAAACTAGCAAAGAAGATAATTGACAGCATCCATTGAAATGCTGAGCAATTTGTTTATCATCATTGGGTTATATTCATCATAAAGTCAATCATTCCTCAGAATTAATGGATCCTATAACTGGTGCTTATACACATTATGGTTTATTTACTGTAGTCACTCCTATGAGAAACTGAGACCTCTTTGCAGCATATTGGAGATAAATACCCTCTAGGACTTATTCTTGTTATACTTATATCCAGCAAATATATTTATATATTACCATTGTGAAATTCATTTTCTTCATGAAGTGATATAAGGATTTAAAGTATCTCAGGTAGTATTTGGCGTGTGCTACTGATAGGATTTGTCAATAGTATATAAACAGACATTCATCGGCATAACGGTATCAGATAGCAGGGAGATAGATTTGACGTCGGAGAAAGCCAATGATTCAATGCTGCAGAAAAACATGGAAGACATGAAAGCAACACACAGAAACACAATATGAACGACAGAAGTAGCACAACACGGAAGATCTGTGCAAATGGGGATTTTAAGATAAGGCGTACATAATTTCGCCATATAGCGATGTCGAATTCCAAATAAACATTCTCTCTTAACCAAGACTCTTGTCTTCTACTGTTTCAAGTATATCGAGAATCTCTGAAAAAAATATATATATCCGTTATTGAAAGAATATGAAACGATAACATTAATAATAATCCCTTCCATACACTAACAATGAATTCCCTATATTTTTTAAAAGGCATACACTGCCAGAAAACACACTTTCTCTCAATGGTGAATTAATACCGAAAACAAACAGAATGTCACCTCAGCAGTCTTGCAGATAAACTTTGAAATTAAGACAATTTAAAAACAACTTGCAAAGAATGACTATTTGTAGTAAAAAGGAAATTTTCTTTTCAAGATTCCTTGTGATTTATTGCATAGTTGCACATTTTTAAAGGAGAAGTTTCAAAGTTCTAGAGCTAAACCTCATAAAGAGAAAATAAACTTTATCATGTACTGAGAAAAAAGAGTTAATTTTATAATATTACTTACTTTCCTGTCTTAATAATTCCTCCAAATATTCATGATCTGTGTAAAGTGGACCAAACATAATTTTCGACATATTTCTTGGAATTAAACTAGTAGGGATACTCTGGTTACTTTGATTTCCATCCGAAGTATCAGCATCTCCTGTTGCTCTCTTTGATTTTTGACCCATTTGGCGTAATTTTGCTTTCTAAAAATTGTTAAAAGTGGGAGAAATTCCTCTCTGTTATGAATTGTGAAATTAAATTTTAAGACATTTTGATTCGTGTGCTGTTTGGTGAGAGTAGAACTAAACTTAATGGTGAAATCTATTTTTAGATAGACTTGCGTCGGAATTTTAATACAATCGAGGATGGATCACTTATCCATCTGAAGTACTTATGAATATAATACTACCCTACTGCAAAGGAAAATAATAAGTACATTTTCTCACAGTTATAACGATTACTGTAATTAGACAAGATAGTTACAGTAAATAATTAATATCCCCTGATGTTTATCTCCGCGTGGGTTTGAATCCCACTCACAGCAGGCGGCTTGTGTGTCAGTGATGATTCAGTGGTAGAATACTCGCCGACCACTCACATGGTCCAAGGTTTGATCCTTGGTGGACGCACTACTTGATCTCTTCTAGCCGGTAGTAAGCCCAGTAAAGATGGAAGGTTTGGCATGACGGCTAACAGCATCACAACTACTAAGACTTCAGTGCTCAAGCTTGGAGCCTTATATTACATTCTGAACGCAAAGGAATAAAGTAGATATTAAATAATATTACGAAAGTAATAAATCAACAGCTGCGTGAAAATCTACATGTAAGATTGCAAACTACTAAAATATACATTGCATTCCATTACTATCCATATAAATCATAAACTGTAGTAATAAATACAGTGGAATTTTCAAGCCGAGGTCGTAAAAGTATTGAAATATTTCAAGAAGAAATGATGGAAAAGTTATATTAGCCTGCGAAAAATGTACTTGACAGCACTGAAGACTACACTTTCCTGGTTCTAAAACTAATGTTATGATTGATTATCTGGTAGACTAGATTGATATGGCTAACCGGAACTTAGGATCTGTTATTGGTAGTACGTATAACTGGTGGATGGTGACTAGCAGTGGAATCCAGGATGCACATTTCGTCCTATTTGGGACTCGTTATCTAGGTGTACCTGCATTTCCCACAGAGGCTCGAATCCAGTGCCCTTATTTTCAAACGCTAAAGCGTTATCCACTAGACATCGTCGAAGCATCTGCACAAGAAGCCGACATGTCAACCTGAGACCAAGCACTTCGGTCCAATCAATCGACAGGAAAATCTCAAATTCAATTAAATTGTTAGTTATGTCTATATTATCTGTAGATTTCGTTTATCAATATCTCTCACTTTTGCCGTTGAATGCCGAACCATCGCAAGATTAATATTGGTAAAAGAAGTTTTTAAATCACGCAACTTTGGATAAATAATCGAACAACTGTCAATTTGGTAAGTTTTCATTTTCTTACAAGCAATACCATTAATCATTTATATATTCCCAAGCACCAGTACTATGTTTAATTGCAGGTAGAGGGTGGTTTACATTTAGTGATTTTCGGAAGAATATGCATAAACTGTTTTTGCGAAATCTATATGCAGAACCTTAGGCTTGAAGCGAAATTTTTAGAGGACAGTTTAATGCTCCTAAGCAAACATTGTTTTGGGATCACGGCATGCAGTTAGCTTCTGTGTAAGTAGTATTCTAGTGTCATTAGGAATAACCAAAACAAAAATTCATTTGAAACGTTTACAAACTCACACTACATGCAGACACAACAGACTAGCACTATAAAAATTATAATAAAACTAGTTAAAGTATTTATACAAAATCTAAGCATTAATGCATTACTTGGGCTTTTTCTTCCTGTACAAATAAAAATTTTGAAAAATTTTCACATTTTCATCATCCATTCAATCAGAAGTAAAAGAGTTCGCTGAAAAAAATATCCATTCTATAATGGTTCTGTTCATCCACTCTAGCCTAAGTAATCTAATATGTTCTTAAAACATTTCATTAGAAAAGCAAAAATTACGAGGACTGAAATCTTACATTATTTTAATTCCCCCCTTTAGACGTCATCTGACTGTCCACCTATATCAGATAAGACTGGTTTCTTTTTTGGCAGTGGATTTCAGATTACCTACTCTTGCATTAAATCTGAAGTAATTTACCTATCAAAGGTGGGACCACAAGTTTACCTGTGTCTTTTCGCGACCAGTCAACTAAGCAGCAATAGTCGTTTAGCACATGCATTTTTTGTGCTATTCTGTCTTATTAACTTTAAGTGTTCATAAATCACATTTTCATTTCTGTAGGTATGCTACTGTAATTTATTCAAATATGCGCTTTCTCAGTAGTCTGAGGCATTCTCATTGTAATTTTTATCTGTGCACTTTTCTAGTAGCTTTATTCATGATTGTTGACAACTGCCATTAGTTGACTGTCTCTGGTCACAAATCACTTCTACTTAGAAACTTTTCAACGAACTTTATATGCACCAGAGGTCTTTATCTGGTTCAAATAGCAGCTTTCAGTTACTGACTTGAATCATGTCACCAGGATCTCAAACCTTGTATTTATATGTGGCTGTTAAGCACTCTAGTTTTTTCTGAGTAAATATCCAGACATTTAAAATTCATCGGAAAACCTACTGGGAGTTGTTACACTGAACGTGTTGAGATAATGAAAGTAAGAAAAACTTAATTTGCATTTCGAATTAAGAATGCATTAAACAGTAGTGACCCTAAACAATCTTAAAGCCAGTTAAATCCCCTCTTCAGATCAATCCAATTTAGAAGGTGAGTGTGATGACTGTGAGTGTAGATACTTTTCAAATTTAAACACATACACCTCTTATATCATACGATAATTTTAAATGAAGTGTTTAAGAGGTTTATTCTGAGTGGTTAATTTTTGACTGGTTGTCTGGTACAAAACTTACGTCTTCCATTTGTTTCGCAAAACCTTTTGCTCCTCCACTAGCAATTTTGACTTTTTTGTGATCTAAAAAAGACAAATAAGTAGGAAGAACTTTATATATGACAGTAATAAGTACCTGTACAGGTGATTCAATTATTCCTAGGCTTACACACCACCTTACAAATGGCGTACATACAATTTTCTCACAATACATTGACAGGACTATAAAGTCGGGGAAGTTTATCTAACTTTTTGGCGTGAATCTGTCGTCCGTTGATCTTAAGAGTGATAAGAATTAAACGGGTGTGAGCAGCTATTCCCTTCTTAGTTTGAAATATGTCATCAGCAAACATCAACGGCATCAGTCAATCCAAGATTACATAGACATTAAATCCAATCTTATTACTCTTTCTAGCAACAAGTTATCAGGATGAGAAAGATTGGCCTCTCTCAAATAAGTGCTATTATGTGTAGGTATTGTATAGCCAGATAAATTGGAGTCACCCAAATTTTCACAAATCTCAGAAGTAGTTAACGACCGAAATAGGATAAACAAACAGTGTTAATATCTGATTAAGTAATATAGCATAACGGTTGCTAAGTGAAAAAGAAATGAAAAGAGCTGGTGATAATTTCTCAGCCACATTGTCGATAGCCTGTAAAATATAGACTTTCTGCGCTTCCCTACACAATGCTGACAAGCGGTCAGTAACTTTCATGAGTGACTACATATTCTGTCCGAGGCGCATAGCGCATATCCCCGCCAACTGATACACTGGGAATTCGTAGTATTCTCAGCTGACTGATTAATCTTTCTGTGACCGTATATGTGACTTCTACATTAGTCATTTGGGGATGCTGCTAAACGCTGAAAATACTGAGACGGTGGCCATGGTCAAAAAACTGAGATTCCTGTACATCCTATAACTTTAATATAAATGTTATGAGGATAAGCTTCAGAGCAGCGTATTAATACTCAGTCTGAAACAGGTAAATCAATATCTAACCTTCGTCACAAGCGCTCAAGTTTAGGCAGAAGCCAATGGGTATTGTATCTGCACTGAAAAATGCGAGTTGCAACTCGATTTCAGTATGTCAGTTGCGAAACCTAATAAAATATGAATGTAAAAGTTTTATTAGAAGCCTACCTAGATTTATTCACAGAGGTAGAGCTGATGACCCTATGCGACGTTTAGTATCTAGAATTGACGTGTATGTGTCGGGCTATTCCTAAATTCTTACACTATGAAAGTTGATATCTTTCTGATGTGCTTGATTGCAGCACAGAACTGATTTTGTGTCAAATCGCAGCTCATCGGAGATTTGCTCGAAAAACATCATTCGTGGCCTGTCTCAAAGCATGAAACCTTGTGTTATATACTGTGTAAAAGTCATTTGCTAACTACAAACACCTGCTGAGATGCACGTATTCTATCAATTTCTTCCTGTTAGATGGCAGCCTGGTAGACGTGCTGGTAGTCCGATATCTTACTGCCATTCTTCTGCTTTGTCAATGTTAATATTCCGATAACAAGTGGTCTTGGTTTTGACATTGCTGAATCGAGTTTTCCCTCCCGGGAAGGCTCTTTATAAAAATACTTCTGGTCAACATACCATCATTGTAGTATGCAAGTTGATTTCGCGATGAAAGTAGTTACAGTAGATTGTTAGTGTACTTCATAATCCAGGAGGAAACTTATTTTGCTTGTTTTAAAATTCAGAGTAAATAACTGCAATATGGTGATGAATTAATTATTGGTTTATTATGCATATTGCAGACCTTACTGCTTTTAATTGATATTATTATTCTTTATAAAAAATAGTCTATTTAGGGAAGCATTTTCTCATGTCCAAACGTTATTTGCCATAGGGTACTATGTTTGTAATTACTTTTTCAAGGAAATATAAGTGCATTTTTAAATAGCTGCAGTGGTAAAGAATTCCCATACCTCATTCAACAATAGATGCTGACGTTTAATGTTTAAGCCAATTCCTTAAGCCAACTGTATGTAGCCAAGCATCCATGCCATTTGACACGTTGTTGTGTTAAGTCCAGCCGCCCATGCAAGATTCTAAGTTAAGTGTCAATCACCGAAATCCGTTTTTGATCCCGAAATATATCTCATATATTGGATCATCAATGTGTTTTTCTTAATATATCTCTGAAGAGACCATAGTCTCATCAGAACAAATGCTTTGGAGGTCGCGAGTTAAAAGTCAGCGTTTGTATACA